AACGTCTTCGGTCAGCGCTGGCTCTTCGGCTTTGAAACGGAGATGAGCACCGCAACCCTAGAGTCGGATTCGACTGGCTTTCGAGCAAGGGAACCTTTACCTTTACCTTTACTATATAATTTACAAATCAGAATATATCTTCCTGGGGAAGTTTGGATGCCACTCCAGAAATGCAGGAACCTAACAAACTCCTTGCTGGAGGAAACGAGGCAGGTTCGTGGTTGCTACTCATCTAGGCAAGGAGCCACTGTCTCTGTCCTCGGCATCTGCCCTTGCTTCATGTGCATGCATGAGAGTGAGTGTGCACCTGGAAGTCATGGCAATCTCTCGTGACTGACCCCTACTGCGGGCTTGGATGCTATTCAGAGAGGTGGCCGAATAAAGCCTGCCCCCCACCTCCTGCCTCTGGTATTCCTTGGAGGTCTCCCATCCAAGTACTTGCCAGAGTCGACCCGGCTTAGATTCCGAGATCTGACGAGACTGGGCTTGCCTGGGCTATCCAGGTCAGGGCGGCCACTGCAGTTTTTGATGCTTTGTGGCAAGCAAGTGAGGAACTGGGCACATACCCTCTGTCACTCATTTCCCAGCATTTCTGTCTCCCGTGCTGGGAAATCTAGTTTCAAAATGTGAATGAAAATCCAGTTTGAGGGGGGGATGGTTGAAGAATTCCCACAGGCCAGATGTAGTCCACAAGCTGTGGCTTGCCTGCTTTTGAGATGAGTAACCATCTCGTACCCTTTTACCATCAGGAAACATCTACTGGACAGACCAGGGCTTTGACGTTATTGAGGTAGCCAGGCTCAACGGATCGTTCCGCTACGTGGTGATCTCACAGGGGCTGGACAAGCCACGGGCCATCACAGTGCACCCAGAAAAAGGGTAAGAACAGCTATGGTGAGGGGGGATCTCTTCAAAATTTGTTTCACACATTCTTTGGAAGAATAGACGCGTGGGAGCTTTCCTGACCTCCTCAGGCAGGCCATTCCATAAGGTGAGGATGCATTTGTCAGTCTTGCCCATTTGATGGCCCAGGCTAGCCCGATCTCGTCAGATCTCACAAGCTAAGCAGGGTTGGCCTTGGTTAGTTTCTGGATGGGAGACCACCAAGGAAGTGCAGGGTCAGTATATGGAGGCAGGCAATGACAAACCACCCCTAATTGTCTCTTGCCCTCATCACCACCTTTAGGGGTCTCTGCTCAAGATGAATGGAGGTGTCATTGGGGGGACACAGCCGGAGAGGTGGTCCTGTAGATACATGGACCAAATTCATGAAGGGCTTTGTAAGTGATAACCATATCTTAGGCTGGTGGAAGTTCTTCCTAGCCTAAGGAACGTCCTTCCAGCTTAAGTGGCTGTTGAACCACTGATGTTGGCAGAAGGCTCCTTGGGCTGAGTGGAAGGCTTCAGACTTTGCTGGGGGGGGGGCGGTGCTTTGGACCATAGGCCAGTGCTTTGGACCAACACAGGAATGGTCCCTGCATCATTACACCTCCCCCCCCACACACACACAGTGGCAGCAGGCAAGTAGGACTCTGCTAACATGAATAAATAGGCAGTGAACCAAAGTAGCTCAAAAGACCAGCATAACTTTGTGGTTTGAATAAATTATGCAAATTAAGCACGTTTGCATATGTCTGGTTTTGTTTGCCTGTTTTATTCTGTGCTTGCTGATTATGGGAAGAGGTGAGGAGGGGTGTAGGACACTTGGAGACCTGTCCCCTGGAAGCGCTACCTGTAGCTTTGGAGATTTCTCCAGGTGTAGCCCACACATTTTCAAATCTAATGTTGCCTCAAGAGATTCTGCTGTGACACTTTATATCAGGGGTGACCAAACTTGCTTAACGTAAGAGCCACATAGAATAAATGTCAGATGTTTGAGAGCCGCAAGACATGAACAAATATCACACACATGTTTTTATTGAATAATATGCAAATTTGCATTCTATTAACATTAAATGAGACTGCCAAAAGTAAAAACAAGAGGAGTTAAAAACAGATATTGCTAATGATATTAGTTGCTGTAGATTTCCTGGGATGTGTGGCCGTGGTCTTGGATATGATATGTTTTGTCTAATGATATTTGTTTGTTAATGACATTTATTTGTCAGAGAGAGAGAGAGAAAGAAAGAAAGAAAGAAAGAAAGAAAGAAAGAAAGAAAGAAAGAAAGAAAGAGAGAAAGAGAGAAAGAAAGAAAGAAAATAGGGGAGGGAGAGAAAGGAAGAGAGAAAAAGAGAAAGATGGAAAGAAAGCAAATAGATGGGTGGAGGAAGGGAGAAAGAGGTGGAAAGAAAGCAACTTTAACTTTAAATGTGTTTTCCGAGCCTGCCCCCTGATTTGGCTTGGAGAAGGGATTCAAAGAAACAAATGCCTTCTCCAAGCCGGCTGGTGCGGGGGGGCTTTGAGAATGCATTTAAAGTTAAAGTTGCTTTTTTCTCTCTGCTCCCCCCACACTTCAAGCCTACTCAGGGAGGGGAACACTGGCTGGGGAAGGGAAGACCGATCGGGGAGGTTCGCTTCCCCAGCTACCCTGTTGGAAGCCGCACAGTATGTGTAAAAGAGCCGCATGTGGCTCCTGAGCCACAGTGAGGCCACCCCTGCTTCATAGAAATCAGCTTTTGTAGCCTTAAGAGCTAGAAACTTGGGAACAAAAGCTGAGGCTCTCATTACCTTGATTACTGTGGCTTTGTATCAGTTTCTGCGGTTACTCTGTGCTGAAAACATCAGCACAGCGCCAGTTTGTGACCCAGATGGAGTGACGGAGGGCACAGATAGGCACGCAGGGTATGGCCCTGTATAAAGTTGTGGGGGGGGGGAGAGCATTCTTTCGCTGGTTGATCTGCAGTCTGTTTTGATTCTACAATTGCTTCTGTCAGCTTGGTAAGATAGGGAGAGGCTGGTGCTGGGTGAAGACCCCAGTGCCTGTGAAATGTGTGGGACTGTCGAGGCATCTGATTCCAGAAATAAAAAGGTAGAACCATTCTGGCTCAGACCAGAGGTGCACTTGTTTCCCAGAGGCCTAGGCATGAAGATAGCGCCCTTTCCCTGCCGTCACTCCGCAAATCAACCAGCATTCTGAGACAGTTTCAGGAGGGTAGGCGTCTTGGTCTGCCTTAGAACAGTGAGATGTTAGTCTGGTGGCACCTTACAGAGCAACAAGATTTTCAGGTTATAAGCTTTCAAAAGTCAAAGCTCTCTGTCAGATACCCGGACTCGAATCTAGTGTTCGGAGGTACACCGGTCCTGAACATGGAAGCTCCATGTAGCCATCAGGGCTAATGTTTATTTGTTTAGAAAATGTATATGCTGCGTCTCCAGGCATGAGGTGGGTTACATCTAAGATAATAAAACCAAACTGTTCAAACACATCTATTAAAAACAACATCCATTAAAAGACAGTCACTTAAAAAAAAGAGCCAACGCCATTAATAGCCGTGTTGATACAGCCTGAATATTAGGTATAAATTAAGGTGCATCAGACAAATCCTCTGTGATTCAGATGTAGTCCCCAAATAAAAGATGGTTCAAATGCCACAGTCCAGGAGTCTTAAAAATCACTGGTGCAGGGGAGAAAAGGATAATTGTGGGTGGAGCTTGGGGAAGGAGGGGTTGGGGAGGGGCTTGGACTTCAGTGGGGTATAATGCCATAGAGTCCACCTTCCAGAGTGGTCATTTTCTCCAGGTAAGCCAGTCTCTGTTGCCTGGAGATCAGTTGTAATCCCAGGAGATCTCCAGCTGCCACCTGGAGGCTGGCAACCCTACTATCTTAGTTAGGCCTGTTCCAACTAGAAGGTGTGGTTGCCTGGAGGATTAGAGTTATAGCCACAGGTGTATGATCGCATGTACTCTTCTCTTGGAACTATTTGAGTTTGCAGTCAGAGAGAATGCGCCTGGATTGCACATCTGGTAGCTCCGCATCCAGTCTGAATCCACATTGGCAAAATGCTTTCACATCCTAAGATTCCTGTGTAACTCACCAGGATGGCGTGTTTCTTTAGGATGGGAAGCTTTACTGGTGTGACGCCCGGACAGATAAGATTGAACGCATCGACCTGGAGACTGGTGACAACAGGGAAGTTGTCCTGTCCTCTAACAACATGGACATGTTCTCGGTGTCGGTCTTTGAGGATTACATCTACTGGAGTGACAGGTGTGTATCTCAGTGCTACAGGGGGTAGGAGTCGCTAGAGTGGAGAAAGGTAAGGTTCTAAAATGGCTGTCGCTTACTGGCACGGGCAAAGATGTCTCAGTTTGTTTTCCTGCAGATACGTAACGCTCGTCATGGCTGGGTGTTTTGTGCACCCATTGGGCCTGTTGCATGTTTGAATTTTGCCCTGTGCTAGAAATCACATTGTGCACATGTTCATGGTATATGTAAAAGTTACCATAAACGTGAACGTGTGCATATATACGCAAAAGAGGACATCAGGTAAATCTGGGTATGCAGTAGCCCATCTGATTGAGTGTGTGCAGAATTACATATCTGCGTCTGAAGTTCTCTCCTAAATCCTAGAGACTGCAATGTTGAACAGTGCAGTTTGTCTGCCTAGCTTAGGGGTTACCAGCATGGGTGCCCCGCAATGCTTCCTCTATACTGTGGAGTCCTGTGAGCAAAAATCCTACTTTGTGAGCCTACTGGCATTGAAGTTGTGAGCGAGCGATTTGGCTGCTGCATAAATTAGTTTGCTCTGGAGCCATCCTTCCTGATCTAAGGCAAAAATGTGTGAGCCGGAGGCTAAAAAACTGTGAGTTAACTCACACTAACTCAGCTTAGAGGGAACACTGGTGCCCTGGTGCCTGCTGACAAGTGTTTTTAGAAAGTGGGCAGGGCCAGGTGGGGCTTTTGCCCAGCAGTGCTTCTGATCAGCTGTGCAGATTGGAGATTTGATTGGCTGTGCAGATTATTTTTTTTAATCCCATGGCAGCATCTGTCACAACAGCACAAGGATGTTCATGACTGAAGGCAAGCTGTGCGTAGGCAAGAAAATACTTTAAAACAGTATGTTGATTAAAAAAAGGCATCTTGTTAAACGAATCTTCTGCCCGAAGTGTTAAAGAGTTACTATTAGGCATATCTTCACTCCCTGACATTTTGTGGTTGGCTCCACCTCCTGTGGTGGCCCTTTTGTGGCTATGTCCACCACTCTGTATCAAAACTCCAAAGTTGGGGGGTCCCCTGACCTAACATGCTGTTGTGCATCAGCAGTTCATTTGAAACAGAGGGAAGTTGCTACTCAGTGAAGCTGCTTTCTCCCTTTCTGCTTCTAACCCACCACCCCCAAGAAAACACAAGGTCTAGTTTCATCTGGGAGAAATCATGAGGGAAACTCTTGAGCAAAAACACTTGGGAATATATGGGCTCCCCCCATGGCAAAGCAGGGATGGAAGTGAACTTGCTTACATCAAAGTGCACAGTTAGGAAGAACAAATGTGTGAACTTGGGTTGCCAGCTCTGGGTTGGGAAACACCTGGAGATTTGGGGGGTGGAGCCTGAGGAGGGGAGGGACTTCAGTGGGGTCTAATGCCATAGAGTCCACCTTCCAAAGCAGCCATTTTCTCCAGGGGAACTGATCTCTGTAGTCTGGAGATCAGTTGTAATTCCAGGAAATCTCTGGCCACCACCTGGAGCCTGGCAACCATCGTGTGAACAGACAAAACAAATGCATGTTTGCTGTATAGCGATAATCACATGCATAAATGAAACATGTTTTCATTGTACACTGATAGTATGAATGTTTACAGTGTCATCTGAATACGGGCACCTTTATGAACACTGACAACAAGTCTGAAGCACTGCAAATTTGTACATATGTTTGTAAATATGCCCGTGTGTGTAATTTTAGATGAATTAATCAAGGGAGAAAATGTGTGATTGGATGATCTGTGATATACATGTGCAAAGTAGGGTGCATGTTTTAGCTCATGCACTGTTAAGGTTGCACACGTGTGGAAGGTTTGTGTCTCACTTTCTTGCTGCCCGTTTGCCTTCAGCCAACTGGCAGATGTGTCAGCTGTTTGTGGTACGGTTCATGCTCACACACTGGTCTGTGCCCCTCTCTCTAGGACTCATGCAAATGGATCCATTAAGAGGGGCAGCAAGGACAACGCTTCCGAAATTGTCTCTCTGCGCACAGGAATCGGAGTGCAGCTGAAAGACATCAAGGTGTTCAACAGAGCCAGGCAGAAGGGTGCGTGAAGAATGGACTCATCTTCTTATTTACAAAACTTATACCCCACATTTATGCTCTCATAGGTCCCCCAAGGCTAGCTAGTGGGACTGCCTCTCCCAATATGACCCCCCTGGCATCCTTAGATCAACATCGCAGGGCCTTCTACAGGTGCCTTCTACAACCACTCCAGTCAGTATCCTGGCTGCAGCATTCTGCATCAGAATTTCTGAAGACTTTTCAAGGGCACTTCCACACAGAATGCATTGCAGTAATCTAAACTTGATGTAACCAACCACAGTGGCCAGATTTCGTCTGCCCAGGAAAGGCGACGGTTGGCTTGTCCAATCAAGGCTGCGGTCACACGGAGCATTAGCCACGCTACAGAGACAGAAGATAGGCGGATTTTCCGGGCGTGATCACAGCGCCACATCTGGGAAGCGTAGAGTTCCCATGGCGAACCCGAGGCTTCCCGGCGAAGATGCGGGCTAAAAAACTAGTACCTCCGAGGTACTAGTTTCCAGAAACCGTGGGGTAAGGGCGGGCGCCTGATCGCGATTCTGGTGGTAGGTCGTGGCATCCGGCGCCTGTCCATGTCCCGTCGCGAAAAGGTTTCCCCCCCCCCAAGTCTCCACGGGATGCGCACAAGCACCCAACGGCACATGTGCACACTTCGTTTAAAAACAAACAACACAGCCCCCTCCTCTTTTCCGTACCCCCCCCACTCCTGGCTCGGGCTGATCGAGAGGAACTCTCTGCACCGGGCGGCAGAGGGGGAGGTGCAGGGGGGGCGTGGTGGGAGGGTGGCCTGTCTGAAGCTCTTCCTGGAGGGGACCAGATGGAGGACACAGTTTGCATTCCTCTGCAGCCCTGGAAGGGGTTAAACCCACGGAGCCTTTTGCTAGAGAGGTTGCTTCTTTGCTGCGCCGCAGGATTGCCCTGTGATCGGCACCTCCCCCCTAACCACGGGACCTCGATGGGACGTCTGATCGCGCAGCCGCACATTATTTTGCTCCGGGGCAAACAGCCACGCTCCCCCCCCATGCATTTTCCTGCCTGTGTGACCAACCCAAAGCTGGTAAAAGGCACTCCTGGCTACAGCTGCCACCTGCTTATCCATCAGTAGGCCTGGGTCTCCGAGCCCACCAAAACAATGGACCTGTTCCTTCAAGGTAAGTGCAACCCCATTCAGAACAGGTGACACCTTAAGTCTTTGGTCAGACCTTCACCACACCAGTAGCACTTGCATTATGTCAGGATTAAGCTTCAGTTCCAAAACTGCCTCCAGACACTGGTTCAGACTGTCTGCAGTCTCCTTGGGACTGACCAAAAGTGTGAGATAGAGCTGAGTGTTGTCCACATATTGAGGACAACGCAGCCCAGATTTCCGGATGGCCTCGCCTGTCAGTTTCATGTAGATGTGAAAGAGCATGAGGATAAGATGGAACCCTGCGGACCCCACGGGCCAAGGGGCTGTGCAGCAGTCCCCCAGCGCCACCTTCTGGAATGCACTCTCCGGGCAGGGCCAGAACCACCACAGAATGGTGCCTCCCAGGGCAAGATGGGCAAGAAGGATACCGTTATCAGTGGTATCAAAAGCTGCCCAAAGGTCTGGTAGAATCAACAGTCGCATTCCCTCTGTCCATCTCCCGGCATGTGTCTTCTCACCATTATGTTCATTAAACATAGAAAATGAAAGGAGGCAGGGGGCACTTGTGATTTTAAAGAAAATTTAGCCCTTGTACAGACACCACCCAGATCAAAAATCAACATTCTACCATGAATAAGCCAATTTTTTGTTTTAAGGCGGGGGAACCAAAGATGAAATGAGAGCCAAGAGGAGAACTTGGAAATAAGAATTTTCTCAGTATCCTTACTGTTTCAAGCCTTATTTATTTAAAAGACCGTTTCTTTACTGAGACGCTTGTAAGATGGGATAGGCAGGCAGGCAGGAAGACAGATAATTTGTAATATATAATATAGATTTAATACAGATACTATTGAAATATAGATATTTGCAGGCATCCTAGTAAAATGCTCTGTTCAAGACAACGCAGTCCGACCTGATGTTTATTTTATTTTTAACACTATTTATTAGCAATATTCATAGATGATAATAATAATAATAACAACAACAACAACAGCACATTATAAAGAGCATTAATAAACTGTTAACTAACCATGAAGGAAGGACTAATAATAACCCGTGGTGTTTCAAAATAGTCATATTTGTATCCATGATGTAATCACATCACATAGAATTTGGGTGGTCCATGAAATATTTAAAGCACTCTAGGTTTGACTATTTAATGAATCTAGATGGAGCTCTAATGAATCTAGATGGAGGTCTAAATACCTTTGATTTAAAAACGGTATCAAGATTTGGAATCTCTTGATCTGTAACAAAAGCTCCTCCTAGCCGAAAATTACCAACAATCCATCGTGCACAACTAATTTCACAAATTGATGGCTTCCCTTGTTTGAATTCACTGGAAAATCTAACTAGCAAATGTGGTGTTTCAGAATAGTCATATTTGTATCCATGAGTGTTTATGTAATCACATCACATAGAATTCGGGTGGTCCACGAAATATTTAAAGCACTCTATGTTTGACTATTGAATGAATCTAGATGGAGCTGTAAATACCTTTGATTTAAAAACGGTATCAAGATTTGGAATCTCTTGATCTGTAACAAAAGCTCCTCCTAGCCGAAAATTACCAACAATCCATCGTGCACAACTAATTTCACAAATTGATGGCTTCCCTTGTTTGAATTCACTGGAAAATCTAACTAGCAAATCGACAAAAGGCGTTTGTTATCTATTGGGTGCGGTCAGATGGCGTGCCGGGAGCAGTGTAAATTCCTCCGGTCCAATGTGCTTTTTTTTAACCTGAAAGAATCGCGATCACACTCACCTCCTTGTTCCGTATCGCTGTGCAGCCACATCGTTCCCCGCCGTCCACGCAGGGTTTTTTCCTCTCAGTTTGGGCACGCGCACGGGCAGCCATCTTTAGTATTGAAATTTTCACGCGTGCGCAGAACAGCGATTTCCCCTTCAACCCAACTGCTGTGACGCTTCCCTTTAAATGTTAAAGGAACACTCCCCTTTACACTTTTACTCCGAAACTGGCCTCCCTGAGATCCTGAACTCATCTATACAGCAAAACTAGGCACTGTTTAAACTTTGGTTTTATTAACGCCGGGGCGAAGTTCCGCCCAAGCTCATATTGCCGACGCTTAAATTTAAAAAAAAAAAAATGGCGAAAAGCGGAAGCCTCAGGCAGCTTTCGAGCGGGAAACAGGAAGTGGCTCTATGCCGGCGGGGGAGCGATCACACAGGGGGGAAATGCAGCTAGAACCAGAGCAGCAGGAAAACACCACTTGGGGACCTGGTAGCAAAATACTCCAGTTTAAAGGGGGTTGGGGACGGGAGACAGATGTTGGCTGTGTGATCACGCGTAAATAGTCCGTTTCTAATCGGCATGTATACCGGCTCAAGTGGCCCGTCTGAACGCGCCCATTGAGGTACGAGGCAATGATAGTACAAGTGGAACAGACTGAGGTAGCGGCTTCACTCCCCCGGGCTAGCCGTACCCTTCAGATCAGACTACAAAGCACCATAGCCCTGATTTTATTTTTCTGTGTTGCTTCTCTAGGTACCAATGTATGCGCTCAGAACAACGGTGGCTGTCAGCAATTGTGCCTGTTCCGGGGAGGGGAACAACGGACGTGCGCATGCGCCCACGGCATGCTCGCTGAGGACGGCGTGAGCTGCCGTGAGTACGACGGCTACCTGCTGTACTCGGAGCGTACCATCCTCAAGAGCATCCACTTGTCCGACGAGAACAACCTCAACGCGCCCATCAAGCCGTTTGAAGACAGCGACCACATGAAAAACGTCATCGCTTTGGCTTTTGACTACCGCTATGGCAGCAAGGGCAGCAACCGCATCTTCTACAGCGACATTCATTTTGGCAACATCCAACAGATCAATGATGATGGAACAGGACGTAGGACCATAGTGGACAGTGAGTACTTCGGACGCGCTTCTTCTTTCTTCTCTGATGGCTCCCTCTGGGGAGTGTTTAGAGGAGTGCAGGCCGATCTCCGTGGGCCCTGGAGAATAATGTGGAGGTTCACCTGGTCCTCTATATAATCTCAGACTTCTGCTTCTCGGAGGCAGGCCCATAGCTAACGCGGGGCCCACGGGGCCTGGCCCCCTAGCAGTTTTTATGGGCCCCCTTCCTGAGCCTTGGCACCCCTACCCCAACTCCCCCTGATTGCCTGTCAGCGACAGGAGAACAAGGGCAGTGATTTCAGAGGCTGTCCCTGGTGCTGTGCCACGGGAAGAGGCACTGGGGCTCCTTGGGGGGGGGGGAGCTGGACCCGGAGGCTGTGGCTGCTGCAGCCCTTGCCCTGGAACCTCTGATTGGATTAGCAGGCGCCCCCTCCCTAAAATGTCCTTAGCTACGGGGCTGCGGAGGTGAATGCTTATTCAGAGCTTTCGTGTGCTCGAAGGATGTGGGGGGGAAGTGTGGAGTTGCCAGCTTGTGGCTCAGTCACTGGGAATGCTGCTGTTTGAACTTGGCATCAAGCAAGGAAAGTTTACCTTGGAGGTTGTGATAGGACAAAGGAGAGAGAAAGTGATCTCTGAGACAGGACTCAAGGGCTTTGCATGTCACAATCCGCATGATGGATTGTGCCCAGAGGACATTAAGGAGCCAGTGCAAACTTTGAACAATAAGCTGCCTTGGCTCCTGGATTGTGGTTGAGTGCAAACACATGCTATGACCTGGGGAGCTTAGGCAAACATTCAGAAAAATGCAGATTTGAATTTCTGTTGAGGAACTTCTTTTACTTGGATGGACTTCGGCAGCTACAGTTAAAATGTAAAAATCCTGATTTAATCTATGAGCCTTCAGCTGGTGAGTTGGGGCCCACATGCAGGGTGTGCCCTGACCTGAGGAGAAATGTCTCAATAGGCACCACCATCATTTTAAGGAAAAATAACTGAAGGGATGCAAAGGGAGACCTGTTTTCCCTCAATACTGTCTCGGAAGGGACTGCACACATACTTTCTCCCCCTTTGGAGCCAGTTTGGTGTAGTGGTTAAGTGCGCGGACTCTAATCTGGGAGAACCGGGTTTGATTCCCCACTCCTCCACTCGCAGATGCTGGATGACCTTGGGCAAGCCATAGTTCTGACACGGCTGTTCTTGAAAAAGAGCAGTTTCTGTCAGAGCTCTCTTAGCCCCACATACCTCACAGGGTGTCTTTGGGTAGTGAAGGGTGGGGTATAAATCCAATCTCCTCCTTCTCCTCCTCTTCTTCTTTCTTCTTCTTCTTCTTTCTTCTTCTTCTTCTTCTTCTTCCTTCTTCTTCTTCTTCTTCTTCTTCTTCTTCTTCTTCTTCTTCTTCTTCTTCTTCTTCTTCTTCTTCTTCTTCTTCTTCTTCTTCTTCTTCTTCTTCTTCTTCTTTTCAGATTAGCTGCTCTGATATTTAGCCATGGGTTCATAGTCCCTGCATCATTTCCTATCCTTCTCACCTGTTAAAAATAAGAGGACACAGTCTACCCCAAACATGATGAATGATGCCACTACTGGTTGGCCAAGATTATTTGGCCAAGGAATTCATGCAAACCAGGGCCATTGATTTGATTAAAACTTTTTTAAGTCTGGCTTTTACTTAAGAACTAACAAATTAGAGATGGTTAAATAATTTTCACCCATGTGTTATCGCAACACTTTAGTGCAAGTTCTTTTTTTTTAGAATAGTCTGAAAAGCGCTCCAGTCCTTCCAAATTAAAGAAACAAGCTGCCACTTATATTTTTGGGAGGAAAGATTGTCAGAGCTCTTTGACCCACACTGTGACAACTTGTTAATAAGTATAGGATCCCAAACTTTCTGAATCCAGTCACGCTCGGATGGGGGTTCTGGTTTCTCCCATTGCTGCGTGATGACAAGACAGGCAGCTGCTATTAAATTCTGGATTACCTTTCTAGGCAGTTTTTTAATTATCAGAAGTTGGGGGGGGGGAATCTCTCCTTGCTTCAATGCATTATGGAGTGCTCAGATGAGAAATTCAATGAGGCCAAGAGACAGCTGAAGAGCCCACGGTGTGACGTTCGGTTGCAAATCTTTAAATAAAAATCAATTTTCTCCAGCCAACCCAATAATTTCCCTGTGCTGAAAGCACTGCTGGTTAAGGAGATTTGGCAAAGTACAGTTTATTGGCAGGTAGATTATTAGGCAATTTGTCAAGAATTCAAATACAGCTCTGTTGTATTGTTTGGGTGAGACTGCAGCACAGTACCACACCGTTCAGCTGTGGATCATTTATCCTGAGCAAAGTTATACCTTTCGGAGCCCGTGCATCTTCTGTATACTTTGAAGGGTGTGCCTCTCCTTTGGATTGGCCTGGGGAGTGGGCATGCTGATGCCAGTTTGTGCCCACACCGCACATTGCATTGCCATCTGGTTTGGTGCTGACTTTAAACCCAAGCCAAGATTCCCAAAGGTTTTAGAATCAGATGGGGAATATCTTGCTTGTCGGTCAGGGGCAAGGTTTGGAAAACAATACTGAACCTGCTCTAAGGGTAAGGTGTGAACACACAAAGCTGCCTTATACTGAATCAGGCAGGGACAGAAAAAGGGCAAGAAACTGAACCTTAACACTAAAATTCAGAACCTAACAAAGGCTGCGGTCACACGGAGCATTAGGCACGCTAGAGGGACGGAAGATAGGCAGAGTTTCCGGGCGTGATCTCACCGGCACATCTGGGAAGCGTCGGGCTCCCGTGGCGCAACCGAGGCTTCCCGCCGAAGACGCGCAGTAAAAAACTAGTACCTCGGCGGTTCTAGTTTCCTGAACACTCGGGGCAAGGGCGGGCGTCTGGTCGCGTTTCCGGAGGTAGTTCCGGCGCCCGCCCACGTCCCCTCGGAAAAAGGTGTTTTTTTTCAAAGTCTGCATGGATGCACACACGCACCCAAGGGAGCATGCGCACATTTGAGTTTAAATAAAACACCAACCAACCCGTTTGCCCGCGCCCCGCTTTTTTGCCGCGCCGCAGGACAGTGGAGTGATTGGCACCTCCCCCCTACCACGGGACCTCCACGGGACCTCGATCGGTAGGTCTGATCAAGCAACCGCATGGTTTTTAGCCCCGGGGCTAACAGCCACGTTTCCCCCCCGCATTTTCCTGCCCGTGTGACCGGGACCAAAGGTCAGTAAAATGTGAAAACCACATTTATACTGAATCAGACCATTGGTCCTTCAAGGTCAGTGTTGTCTATTTAGGCTGACAGCGGCTTCCCGGAGATGCCAGGGATTGAACCTGGGACCTTTTGCATGCCAGGCAGGTGCTCTACCACTGAGCCACAGTGTACATATGCAACATTATCCTAAGCAGTGTTCCCTCTAAGCTGAGTTAGTATGAGCTAGCTCACAGTTTTTTAGCCTCCGGCTCACACATTTTGTCTTCGCTCAGGAAGGATGGCTCCAGAGCAGACTAATTTATGCAGCGGCCAAATCACCTGCTCACAATTTTTGCTCACATGACTCCACAGCTTAGAGGGAGCATTGATCCTAAGCGAGATCATTGGTACGTCTGCCTCAGAATTGTTGGCTGTGAGTGGCTGCAGCTCTCGAAGGTTCCATGCCAAGGGCTTACCCAGCACCTGCTTCCTGGAGTACCGGGGTGGGGAGATTTAATCTGGGACCTTCCGCACATGCAAACCGTACTCTT